ATGGAAGTTAGAGGACAACTTGAGAGAGTCAGTTCTCTCCTTCCATCATGTTTTGAGGATAAATTCAGATTTCCAGGCTTAGTGGGAAAGTTCTTTCTGCATATATACATGAGCCAACATGCTGACCTTGCATCCCTCTTTAATATGTACTTTTGCTTTGCTTGGAATCAATACATCTGGCTACTTTTGCAAATCTGTGAGAGCTCTTATTTTCAATCCTTTTGAATTGAAAATTTGGCCAAGAACCTGGAAACATCCAGCTTAGACCTGACCAACAGTAACAGATTCTTTAAGAAGTTGTGGGTGGATCTCTGTGAGATCGGGGCCAGTTTGGTCTTCATAGTGAGTTCCAGGTCAGCTGTGGCTACAGGGATGCAGAATAAAATTAAAACTCTTCCAGAGTTGTAAACACAAGTCAATTCTAATTGACTTCCACAAAAATGTTTTTCCAGGTATATAGGTACCCTGAAAAATCAGCCAGAGGACTGGATTGTTCAGCTTGAGCTGGAAGGAAGGGAGCTGGTGCACGACCAAGATACTGGCACCAAGAATGGTCTGCCTAGAAATGCTATTGCTGTCCTGGGGCTCTCTGGGACACTTGCCACCACACTGCAGGATTCTGTCACTCTGCAGGCCTGTAAATGCTCACTCACAGTGGCAGCTTCTTCCCTCAAATGTGAACCACTGTTTCATGCCTTTAAAAAAATCCACACTATTTTTTTCTCCCACATTTGGAGTTTAGACTTACATATCTATGCACACACACACACACACACACACGATAAAAGGAGAACATTTGGAGGAAAGAAGGAGTTCCTAAGTAGGAGGAAGGCAGGATGGGAAAGTACGACAGGAGAATGTGGATGGGGAAGAGAATGGGTATGAGCAAAGTACAAAATGTGAGTATGAAAACGTCATCATAAAACTCATTATTCTGGATTCCAACTGGCTAATTTTAGAAATATGTTAATGTAGCCATGCCAATTCATGTGGGAGGAATATTTGCCCACCTTTTGGGTTCTTGAAGTCTGTCCCTTCCCAATTACAGGTAAGACAGAGTGTAAGTAGAGGCAAAAGTAATTATTTAAATGAAAAATTCCGATTTATTTTCAAATAGATTAACATTAATGTATACTGTAAGAAGCTGAAGCAGAATCAGAGTGATTTGCTGCATAGAAAGATTTTTGTCTTTTAAATTTCTGAATAAGGTTAATATTCCTATTCATTAGCCACTAAATTACAACACAGAAATTTATAATTATAAAATAATTATAATTATATCTAACTGATCATTAAGTTATACTTTACAATTGCCTTGGTTAAATGAATGTTTCATGCTATTTAATCTTTGAAGAAAATGCTAGGAGAGCGATGCTGCCTAACGAGCGCCTGCCATCTAGTGGCCAGATACATTAATACAACAGCAGAAATCTTGGTGTGCTTGTTGGAGAGGTCTCCCCAGTTTGCCCCACTTTACAATTTTCCCAATGTTTTCACCCCATGGACTACATAGGGAAACATCCTTAGATTTTTGAAGTGATAGTTCATTCTATACTATTCAATTTCAAAATCGTTGCAAATATAAATTTGGGGGGCATGCTGTTCTCTCATAGTGAATATGACTGACAGTTATAAATATGCAAATAACCCGTGGGTCACTGGTATCATGGATTGCTGGCTAAACCTCCCACTCCCCAAACTAATAAGCTTAATTTAAGAAAAAATAAAGATGGCCTGTCAGCATTTTTGCACTCATCTCTAACAAGAATGGGAAAGTCATCAATAAATAAGACCAGATCATGCCTCAGCTTCATTCTTCCCAATCCTTATAATGCTTAGAAGACAGTGTTAGTCAAGCCACCTCTCTGAAGATAACTGCGTAATTTCTTACATATCTGAGAGTAATAAAGCTAACCAACTTCAAAGATATTCTCTTGCTGTAACATTAATCTCTAAGAACACTTGCAAGAGGAAGTAGCAAATATTGAGCCAGTGATCTAAGAAACTCAAGAAAGGTAGGTGCTTTGACTAAGAAGGTGAGGTGGTGCTGGAACAGACAGCATTAATGGCATTTAGTGCAATCTAGAGATGAGGTTTGCTTGTGGCTTCCAGGCTTTGTTAGCATATTGTTTTCTTGAGCCAATACTGTGCAAGGGGTCTAGTGAAAATTTCAGTCTGAATCTGAAAGTCAAAGCAAGATTTGGAGTATTAACCAGGAAGGCCAGCTAGAGTTGGGGTTTGGGGATCAGGGGGACTGGTCTGCAGAGAGGAAGATGAATTTTGAAATTAGAAAAAATGAGTGGCTTTCATAAACTTCTGAGCAGGCAGAAGCTCTAGATAGAGGCCTGGCCATGAAGTTATTGTCGTCAGAATCTGGGTGGACACTTCTTCCCTTCTCAAAACTCTCCTTGCCTCCTCCTGTCTGGCTTTGTCTGGTTGCCATTAATTAGCTGTCTCCTTTCTTTGCTGTGGCTGTTCCCTAAGTGGCCATATCAGTTTTTATCATTTATATGTGAAGCCCACAATTACTTGTAATTTTTGAATATGTAAATTAAAATTAATTAGGTGAAACTTCTGATCTCTCTGAAGAGTAAGTTTCTGATAAATTGCCTATGACCTTCAAATTGTTTTCCTGTTGTCTAATCCTAAAAGGGGGGCAGGTATCAAATGCTCTCTATTTCTAAAAGTAAAACCTATCCTTCTGGTCTCTAGAAAGCCTGGTTTCCAGCATTGGCTACGACCAAAGAGCTTATATTTCTGCACGTGTACTAGGCATTGTCTGGGTTTAGATATGGTTCTTCCTGTCTTGCTCTGTTGGACTTTTTTTAAGGTAACAGTGAAAATTTTATAAACTTTATTTTTATGTGTGTATTTTGCTTGTGTGTATTTAAGTGCACCCTGCCTGCAATGCCCACGGAGGCCAGAAGACAGTATCGGATCCCCTGGAACCAGAGCTATGGAGGAAGAGGGTTGTTAGCTACCATGTGGGTGCTAGGAACCGAATCCTGGTCCTCTGCAAGAGCAGCCAGGACTCTTAACTGCTGAGCCATCTCTCCAGTCCCAATAGTGAACACTCAATAATTCGGTAATAGTAGTACCCTTAAAAAAAGCAAATTAAAAATATTTCATGAATTTCACAAATATGATAATGTTTTAGAAGAGAAATATAAATGTGGCCTTCAAAGATGCTAAACCTGCATATTGTTTCTAAAGGCTAAAAGATTTGTGAGAGCTAGAATATTCTTCTATGTCTGGCCTCAGGCCCCTGAAAGACTGCCAGCAGAGGAACAGCACAGGGGTTATGACATCCACCCACCCACCCTCTGAAGAAGCACAGGTGCCACTTTCCCCAGGGTTTCTAGGTAGGGAATTTGACCCCTTTTATACTTTGATAATGTCCACTAACCTTCAGCCAGTGGCTATTTCATCTTAATGAAGGCATTTCAGTTCTAGTATGGGACTTGTAATTTGGTCATTGTTTTATTGTACACTGCCCTAAACCTCAAACATGCTAAGCGTTCATTGCACCAGGGAACTACGCCCCCACTCCTTTATTCTATTCTGAGGGAGGAGCTAAGATTCTAGGGAATTTGTGATTTTGTTCTAATCCACCTTACATAATATCCATAAACAATATAAAATGCTATAGCAAAAGAAAGGAATTCACCCGAATAGAACATTTCAGTGACTTACTAAAAACTTGACTAGCATTTTCTATGCCCCTTTGAATGCCAGTGGGATGAGAGTGTGTCTGTGTTAACATAGTACCAGTTGCGGGGGATGGGGGGTGGGGGAGGATTAGCCTGTTATTTAATCCAGAGAGAGAAGCTAATTGAAAGAAACAGAAGCGCTTAATTTGGGCTGATTCCTGTAAATCAGTACTTTTACCATGAATATGAAGTAGTTTCATTCATTATGGTTCCTACTGTGAGGTACAGACATTCACTAATGGTAAGTTGTGCCTCTTACATATACTAATTGTATAAATAATCGAAGTGTACTACATTGTGTTTTCCTGTGAAATAGGGAGCGTTCATAAACAAACGAACCGGGGAGAGGGAATCTCAGACACTTTTTTTTTTTTTCATTTACCAACTAGAACTGTAGGATGTTTTATATGGCTGCCATTCAATCTCCTCCAGTGGTTTTAGCAGCCACTTTAGAATCAGCTTCATGCTAAGTTTAGAATCGCCATCACAAAAGGATGAGGTGGGATGGGGAAGAGTGCCGGAAGGAACCACCGGACTCTGGGGAGGGGGTAATGGTAAAATCACTAAATAATCACTAAATAATTTAACAGAAGAGTTATCTTCCCCGAGCAAATAACTTCTGTGCTTAATCACAATCCAGACTGCTTGTTGCGCACTCCCAGAAGGCGACCTCCGCAACCCCTACGGTGGCGATTTGCGCAGCAAAGAAAGCGTCCTAGATTCTAAACACAATTATTCCCCTGGTCTGCTCTGGAAACTGGCCGCACCTTGGCCGCTCTCTGCCTGTGACCAGCACCCACAAGTTGAAGCGAGAATTTTCCAGGCAGGATGCAGGGACGTGGCCTGGGCACCTAAGGACTAGGTAGGGGTGCAGTCCTTCCCGTCCGGGCGGGCAGGGAGTCCGGCTGCCGCGGGCCTGAGTCCGGGGACCGCTCCCTCCCCTTCCCCGCGCACCGCTCTGCGCAGAGTGTGGCCGAGCGGCTCGGGTCCCAGCCCTGGGAGTGGCTGGCAGCCTGGGAAGGTCGCCAACGCCTGAAAGCGCCATCCGAAGAAAGTGGCCGAGAGGCCCCGCGAGCCCGTCGCCTCCGGGTTACCCGGGGTCCAGGCTGGAAGCCGAGGCGGGCGCCCGCGGGGACCCACGACCAGGGAGCGCGGGTGGCGGAAGTCCCGGGCGCCGCCGAGCCCCGCAGTGTTTGCCGTCCGCCTGTGGGCGCAGCGGGCCGCGCAGAGGGAGGTGGCGAGGCGGGGGCCGGGCGGGGGCGGAGTGGGGGCGGAGCGGAGCCTCCTGCAGCCACGCCGTCGTCGCTCTCCCCTCCCAGCCACCGCCTCCGCCGGGCTGAGCAGCCAGGAGTCCGCGGCGCCCGCTCGCGGCCGCGGGATGGGGAGCTAGCGCCACGGCGGCCGCAGTGGCCGCAGCCCAGCCGACCGCCGCCCCCGGGCCCGTCCCACCGGGAGCTCCGGGCGCAGTCAGCCCGGCCCCGAACCAGGCCCGCGGGCGGCGGCGGCGGAGGAGCTGGACAGGTGCGTGTGGCTGGAAGATGGCGCCCTCGGGCCCCGGTGGCGTGAGGCGGCGGTGCCGGCGGGTGCTCTACTGGATCCCGGTGGTGTTCATCAGCCTCCTGCTGGGCTGGTCCTACTACGCCTACGCCGTGCAGCTGTGCATAGGTGAGCGTGCCCCACAACCCCGCATCCTCGCAGTCCGGCATCCTCGCTTCCTCGCTTCCCCGCATCCCCCCATCCTCGCGTCCTCGCAGCCCCGTATCCTCCTTGACTCACTCTCCTGCTCCCCTGGCCGCGCTGGGTTACTGGGTCACCTCAACCCCAGGACGCGCAGCTCACAGCACCCCGCTGCCTCTCGCTCAGCACTGCCACCCAGCCACACCCCCTAGCTGGGCAGGATGGACCCGGGACCGCGGTGGTCTCCACTCTACACTACCTCCTTAGAGAGCCGAGGCTCCGGAGGCTGCGCTGGAGGCCGGAGGGCTCGAAGCTGGGCCCAGAATCGAAGCTGCGCCAGACCCGCGAGTGGGAATGTTGGCCTCGGCCTGGGTAACGGAGCCAGATTCTTATCTGTTGACATGGATCCACTTTATAAAAAAAAAAAAAATGTGACAGTGCTCGCCAGCATTTTCGCTGCCTTTATGGTTTGAGCATTGCTAATTGGACACTTTCTAGTTCAAAATGAAGCAGAAGGAGGTGCGCCACTAGAAAGTATTTTCGAAGACATAGGTGACACACAGGACCACAATTTAAATGTTAGGATAATAGAAAGGGGGGAGAAAAAATTTTTACTCAGGGAGCCAAGGTGCCCCAGTCCAAGATAAGGGTTCTTAGCTGGTGAGTAGGGTACTGTCAATGCTTAAGATTTCTTTAAAGGTTGAGTAGCCACAATTATGATGCGAATATAAACTTTCCGCCCTCAGAGATTTTATGAAAGCTGATGTATGCTACCAGGAAGAAATGTTCCAAGACGTTTCTGCCAGTGACTTGCGAATATTTTTCTGATGTTCCATCTAGCAAAGTGTCTATATAGACACATACACACGGTGCGCTACCAAGCACCTGCCTTGGGTGGAACAAGATAACCAGTACATAAGGCCCCATTTCCTTGAACTTTTGCAGCCTGAGCATTTTCCGAGTTTCATGACTGAGATGCAGAACCTTGTTTGAAGCCGTCTTTTCTCCAAATGCTCATCCTGTGAGAAACAGCATCACAATGATACACAAAATAACTTTTGACATAACTTTCAAGAGAATTGAGACTAATTTACCATTTCATATAGTCTTTAAATTTACCATTATTGCTTCCTTTACTGGGTTAAGAAACAATCTTTTAATCCAAAATGAAGTGAATTTGTTTTGGGAAAAAAAAAAGATTGGGGTATACTGACATCTTCGTGGCAGTGTATATAGATGTTTGATGGTCATGGATAATGTATAAGAAGAATGTTAAAGAGGTATGGGAAAAAGCTATTAGAATTTTTGTATTAACGGTTAATCTTTAAATAGCTTGCTTTATTGAAATATCCATATATTGCATAACTATTAAGAAACTGTTGTATTTTATTCCTTCAAGTCTTAGAAATAGTGAACATTATCAATTAATGTAACTGTTGCAAAAGAGGAAAGCCCTAGAAGTCTTCATTATCAAAACAGGCAGCTCACTCTCCTTGATTACCATAGTAAGTTAAGCTTCTTAACCTGGCATAATGGCTCATTGCCCATCAAGAGGAAGTGTTTGAAGGTAGAGAGTGTTCCTGCACTGGTACCAGATGCTGCAAGGGAGAGCTTAATTGGGTAGGCAGGTGATGATCAAGGAACTAAATAGAAAGGGGCTATTGTATCTGAGCGGTATTGTGCATGCTGTTGGCATGTGTGTGCATGTGTGTGCAGGTGTATTTGCCTGTGCTAGTGCATGTGGAAGCCAGAGGTCAAGGTTGGATGTCTTCCTCAATTACTCTCCAGTTTATTTTTTGAGTCAGAGTTTCTCACTGACACTGGAGCTCACATTTTCTGCTGCACTGACAGGCCAAAAAGCCCCAAGAATCTGCCCGTCTCTACTGCCAGAACTGGATTATAGGCATGCGCACACCCAACTTTTACATGGGTGCTGGGGATCTGACCTCAGGTCCTCTTGCTAATGCAGTGAGCACTTTACCCACTGAGCCATCTCCCTAGCCCTTGATCCATGTTTTTACATATACATTTTGTAAGTTTAAGATCAAGTATCCATGAAATATGTGTCTCTCTTTTCCTAAGTGATGATTCAATTGAGGGAAGTTTCCTAAGTGGCATGGGCTACTATTGATACATTACCTAATGAAGTATCCTGCCATTTCCCATCACTGCCCACCTGTTCTGGGCCTAAATGCTTGCCACAGTAAAATCATTCAGTAAATCTGGCATAAATAAATAAATGGTTTAGAGGCAATACCTCCCAGGTTGTCAGAAAGCAGTTTTGAATATTCTTATTGCCACAGAAACAAAAAGGATGAGACTGTTATAAAAAGTCTAGATGGTAAAGACCAAAAGACAAAGTAAGTTGCAGGTGCATTTGATTTTGGTGAAAATGGCAGTCTAGAAGTGGTATGCTCTAAAAAGCCTTGCCTTGCCCAGCCTTGGATAGGTGAGAAGTTGGCATTAACTGTACTGTTCTTTTCTAGGCACAGAGAAGATGGCAACGACTAGTGTGACTGATACGCACACAGCCAGCCTTTGCTGCTTCTCACAAAGAAAATGCCAGCCCCCACCCCCACTCTCACATTAATCACATCTCATTCTGCCCTGCCCTTGCTAAAAAGCCTTGCCTTGCCCAGCCTTGGATAGGTGAGAAGTTGGCATTAACTGTACTGTTCTTTTCTAGGCACAGAGAAGATGGCAACGACTAGTGTGACTGATACGCACACAGCCAGCCTTTGCTGCTTCTCACAAAGAAAATGCCAGCCCCCACCCCCACTCTCACATTAATCACATCTCATTCTGCCCTGCCCTTGGCTTTGTTCTCTCTCTCTCTCTCTCTCTCTCTCTCTCTCCCTCTCTCTCTCTCTCTTTTTTCTCTCTCTCAGTTCTTAATTTATCAAACTCTTCCTTAGAAATCAGATGTGGTTGGTAATCTAAAAGACATGAG